GGTGTCCGGGGGGGTGTCCGGGGGGGTGAGGGGGTACATGGGGGGTCCCGGCTCCGGGCCTCCAGGGAGGGGCACGGCCCCCACAGTGCTGGGTGCGGGGGTCCGGGGAGTGCGTGACCCCCCGTGCCCCCACCTTGAAGGACTCGAAGAAGCCCGGGGCGGCCGCGCCGTTGTCGGGGCGCTCGTCGTCGGGGCCGAGCCCCAGCATGGCCTGGCTGCGCGCCTGCAGCTCCTCGTGCAGCGTCTCCAGCAGCGCCGCCCGCGTCCGCTCCTGCCCCGACCCCGCGGGGCTGAGCCCGCGCGGGACCAACCCCGCACCCACCCCCCGCACCGCTGAGCCCCGCGGGACCACCCACCCCCCGCACCGCTGCATCCGTGCGGGACCAACCCCGCACCCACCCCCCGCACGGCTGCGCCTACGTGAGACACCCACCCACCCACGCAGCACACATCTGTCACCCACGCAGGACCACCCCCCTCCCCCGCACTCTGCACCCACCCCTGCACTGCGCCCCTGCTGCCCCCGCGAGACCACCCCGGGCACCCACCGCCCCTCCACATCACTGCACCCACGAGACCACCCCACAATACCCCTGCCCCACGCACTCACCCACCCACCTGTACAGACAGGGACCCACAACACCCGCTCCCTGCCCACCCCTGCACTGCACCTACCCCCTGCCCACTCACGAGCACCCCCACGGTGTGTCCAGCTTCCACGGACACGGCACCCGCATCCACAGCCCCACGTTGTGCCCCACGGCCCTCCCAGCCCCCTCCCAGCCAGACTGCCCCCGGGTGCCCCCCTAGTCCCCCCGGTGCCCCCCAAGCCCCGCCCCGTGCCCGCACCTCCAGCTTGGCGAACTTCTCGGCCCGGTAACAGGCGTACTCGGCGTTGATGAGCTTCGTCAGCAGGAACTCCTGGAACTCAGGGCCCTGTGGGGCGAGGGCGCCCTGGGTGGGTGCGTGGGTGGGGGGTGCCAGCAGGGCCCCCCAAGTGGCACCCACGGGCGCTCACCTTCCTGAAGACGGCGGGGTCGGGCAGCGGAGGGCCGAAGAAGGGCACGTCGTCACGGGCGGTGACCGAGACCTGCGGCAGGCGGAGGGGTGATGGGACACCCCAAGGGCCCTCCCATGGGGATGGGGACGCTGAGGCACAGGGAGTACCTTGTAGAGGGTGCCCTGGGTGCCCCCCTGCTCCAGCTGCACCACCACGAAGGCGTGGAGGAAGTTGGAGGCGATCATGTCGGGCACGAAGGGCGTGTTCTCGTCCTGGAAGACGATGGCCACGATGTCGTTCCCGATGTGGCGCTTCCGCTGCAGCTGTGGGGACGGGGAGCCACGGAGGGACATGGGGGACAGGGGGGCGGGGAGGAGGGGGGACACAGCAAGGTATGAGGGACAGAGAGTGGTCACACCATGGGGTCAAAGGGAATGGAAGACCCCAGAATCCCACAGACGCCCCCCAGCACCCATGGGTGCTCCACCAGCCCCTTGCATCCCGTATTTTTCCCCTGGTACTCATGGATGCCTTACCAGCCCTCTGCATCCCATAGATGTCCCTCAGCACCCATGGGTGTTCCTAGAGCTTTTGTAGTCCACAGACAATCCCTCAGCACCCATGGGGGCCCCAGGAGTCCCCTGCATCCCGCAGATACCCCCCCAGCATCCACAGATGCCCCACCAGCCCTCCCACCCATGGGGGTGCCCCAGGACCACCTACACCCCCATGCCTCTCAAGCACCCATGTGTTTCCCCCAACCCTTGCTCCCCGTTTACCCCTCAGCACCCCTGGGTGTCCCAGGACCCCGTGGCCCCCCACAGACACCCCCCAGCACCCCTGGGTGCCCACCTGCTGGGCGTCCCCCTCGGTGTAGGGCAGTTTGGTGGACACGTGGAACATGATCTCCTTGTCGCGGAAGTGGCAGTAGACGGACTCGCTGCCCGTCTGCCCGTGGGTCACGTCCAGCCCCCCCCGGAACCTGGGTGGGTGGGTGAGACAGGCACCCTGAACCCTCACGGGTGCCCCCCCCCCCCCCCGCCCCCCCCCACGCACCCCTTGAAGTCCCGCAGCTGCACCCGCTGGCCCAGGACGTCGAGGAATTCGGCGAAGGCTGGGCTCTCCTCCGTGGTGCCGAAAAGCTCCTCCTCTGAGGTCTGTGGGGGGTGGGGATGGGTGGCAGCACCCACTCGGGACACTCCCTCAGCCCCCCACCCCCCCACCCCCCCACCCCGTACCTGCCCCAGTTTTTGGTAGATGACCCCAAATTTGAAGTGGTTGCTGAGCACGTGCTCGTCGAAGGCGAGGATGAGGCGGGAGGCCTGCAGTGTGGGGTGGAAGCAGAGGTTGGGGTGGAGGGCACCCATGGGTGCCCACGTGCCCCCCTCCCCACACCCCGTTACCTTGGGGTAGAGCACAGGGTAGAACCGATCCACGTTGACGTCCTCACACACCAGCTGTGGGAAGGGGGGTGATGCCATGAGGGGGTCGGGGGTCACCCATGGGTGCTGCCAAGGGCATTTGGGAGGCACCCATGGTGTTGGTATGGGGGGCCTCACCCACCTTGGCCATCTGCACCACATTGGGGAACTCGGCCAGGCAGGAGATGGGCACCACATCGTGCAGGGTGCGGGCACGGGTGCTGTGGGGCGAGGAGGGGGTCAGGGGGCACCCCTGCCCCCAGGCAGTGCCCGTGGGTGCCCCCACACCCCGCTCACCGCAGCAGCAGGTGGAGGTGCTCCTGCTCATCGTACTTGAGGGAGAAGACGAGGTGGCCCAGGGCCGGGTCCAGGGAGTAGTAGTTGAAGTGCTCCTGTGGGGAGGGGCCGAGCACCCGTGGCTGGGCCAGCGGGGGCTCCCGTGGGGGCACCCGGGATGGGGGACACTCCAGTCCATGAGCACCGTCATCCATGAGCACCCATGTCCATGGGGCACCCATATCCATGGGCATCATCATCCATGAGCACCACCATCCATGAGCACCCATATATATCCATGTGGCACCCATGTCCATGAGCACAGTAATCCATAGGGAACCCATATCCTTGAGCACAATAATCCATGGGGCACCCAGTCCATGAGCACCATTGTGCATGAGCACCCATATCCATGATACACCTGTGTCCATGAGCAGCCGTATCCATGAGCACCATCATCCACAAGCACCCATACCCATGGACACCATCACCCATGAGGGCCCATCTCCATGGGGCACCTTATCCATGGGGCACCCGTGTCTGTGAGCACCACCATCCATGGGCACCCATATCCATGAGCATCTGTCCCCATAGGGTGCTCATGTCCATGAGCACCCATGAGCACCCATGCTTATGGAGACCCCATGCCTGTGCACACTCATGGGGTGCCCACGGGGCACCCGTGTCCATGAGCACCCATCCCATGGGGTACCCATGTCCTTAAGCACTGTCATCCATGAGCACCCGTGTCCATGGGACACCCATCCTACGGACACTTGTAGGTTCCCCATGCCCATGGACATCCACAGCTACACTCGCCCATCCATGGAGCACCAAGGTCCCTGAGCATCCACATCCATGAGCACCCATCCCCTTGGAGCACCCACATGCATAATCACCCATGTCCGTGGGACACCCAGGCCATTGGTCACCCGTGCCCATAAATACACACACCCATGAACACCCATGTCCCTGAGCACCCACACCCATGGGGCTCCCATGCCCATGGATACCCAATACCCACCTCCATGAGCACCCAGTTCCACAGGGCTCCTATACCCATGTCCAGGAGCACGCACATGCAAGAGCATCCATGCTTATGAGGTCTCCATGCCCATACCCATCCATACCCATGGAGAACCCACCCACCCAAGCACCCTTGTCGTGGGGCACCCATGTACATGAACACCCATATCGTGGGGCTCCCATGCCCATGGATACCTGACATCCACCTCCATGAGCACTCAGGCCCACGAGCACCCATTCCCATGGGGCTTCTGCACCCATAGGAGCACACCCCCACATCCATGAGCACCCATGCCATAGGGTACCATGTCCATGAGCACCCAGTTCCATGGGGTCCCCATAGCCATGGATACCCACATCTATGGCCATGAGCACCCCTATGCACGAGCACCCATGTGCATGAGGTCTCTGTGACCATACCCATGCCCACCCACACCCATGGGGTGATCCTCCCACCCCCAGACCCCACGCCTGCAGCCCCCCAGGGCCTCACCTTGCCCAGGAAGTGCTTGCGGTAGATCTTGGCCGTGTGGTTGCCCTCCAGCTTTGCCCGGGTGCCGGGGGCCGGGGTGGGGGGTGAGTCAGGGGTCCCGCTCAGCTGGTGGTTGGTGCCCTCGATCCAGTAACCCCCAAATTGCGGCAGGAGGATGAGGGGGAACGGCCCCTCCCGGCCTAGCACCTGCACCCAGTGCCATGGTGAGTGCTCTGGGCGCCCACCCACCCCCCCACACCCACCCAGCGGCCCTGGCACCCCTCTCTGGAGGGGGTGGGTGCTCTACCTCGTGCACGCTGGGGTAGGGGATGTAATCCTCCTCCGTCTGCAAGACAAGGGGTGAGTGATGGCCACGGTGGTACCTGTGGCTACTGGAGCGGGTGATGGCCATGCTGGCTCCTCTGGGTGCTGGTTGGGTGCCCCCCACCCCAATGACACCTACCTTGAGTGGCGGGGGGACGGCGTGGCGTTGCTGGGCCATCCTGCTGCCCTGGGGAGATGGGGGCTGTGGGTGCCCGTCACCCCCCTGGGACTGACACCCTCGGGTGGGGAGCACCCCATGGGGGCTTACCTGGGGGTGGGGTGGTGGTGCTGGCTGGAGACACGTCTAGGTGGTGCGAAGGGGTCCGGGGGGGCCCATGGTGCTTCCTGGGGGAGAGGAGAACTCCCCCACAACCCCTCGCCGGGACGCCCGGGCAGCGGTGCCACCCCTGGAACTGAGGGATGGCAGCGGGGCAAGGGCCACCCTGCCAGGGCCGCCCGGCTGCGGGCCGGGGGGGGCGGGAGCGGGAGGTGCGGGGTCACTGCAAGGGGGGGTCCGGCCGCTGAGACCCCCCCAACTCATCGCACCCACCCCCCCAACCCGAGGGGCTCCCTCTGCCGGCGGGAGGCGGCGGCGCGGGGGCAGCACCACGGACAGCGCCGGGCACCGGGACCCGCCCCGGGCCACTGTCACCGACCCCGGGAGTGTCACCGACCCCGCGCCAATTTGACCATCCCCGTGCCACTGTCATCGACCTGGTGCCAGTGTCACCATTCCCGTGCAAGTGTCACTGACCCCGTGTCAATGTGACCGTGCCCGTGCCAGTGTCACCAACCCCATGCCAGTGTCACCGACGCAGTCGAAGTGCCGCCATCCCCGTGCCACGGGCACAAGCTCCAGGCAGGGAGGAGGGAGGGCTGGCACCGTGGAGGGGGGGTTGGCAGGGACCTCCCCGGGGACACGCCAGGGTGGGGACAGGGCCGGGATGGGACAGGGCCAGGGCCACCATGGAAGTGTCACCAGCCCTGTGGAACTGTCACCGTCCCCGTGCAAATGCCCCCCTCCTCGTGCCAGTGTGACCATCTCTGTGCCAACGCCACTGTCCCTGTGCAAACGCGACACTGGTGCAAGCACAGCCCTGGTGCAAACGTGCCCCGGTCCCGTGCAAACACAATGACGCCCCCGGTGCCAAAGGGACCCTCGCGCCGCTGTCCCCGTGCCCGCGCCAAGGAGGTGCAGCCGAGCCCCGTCCCTGAGCAAACACGGCCGTGGTGCAAACCCGGCGCGGTGCGGGTGCGACCCAGCCCTGTGCAAACACAGCCGCAGCCCGGCACAGCCCCGGGGCACGCGTGACCCGGCCCCGAGCCCGCACGACCCCGCTGTCCCCGTGCCAAGGCGACCCTGGTGCCAATGCGACACTGCCACCCGTCCCCGCGCCAACGCGACCCTCTGCAAACGCGACCCGTGGCACCCCTGGGCCGCAGTGTGACCCCGCGGGGCTGGCGGGTCCTTGGGGGGCTCCGTTATCGCTCACCCCCCTTCCCAGCACCCAAATTGGGGGGCAGTCCCGGGGAGGGTGGGGGGCAGCACTGGGTGGGGGGGGTGCCCTAAATGTGGCGCCAGGTTGGGGGGCACAGGCTGGGTTTAGGGGAGGGGACATGGGAGACAGAGTGGGGAGACTGGGGTAGGGAGAGAAAACGGTGAGGGGCAGGAGCGGGGGGAGGTGGATTTTGGGGTATCCGGGGGGAGGGGTGTAGGTTTAGGGGGGGCAGGATGCAGGGTGTAACTGTGGGGGAGATATTGTGGGGACGGACTGGGGGGTAAATGGGGGACTCGTCCCTCCCGCCCCCTCCCCAACCCGCGTCCTTCTCCCCCAGGCCCGGAGCATCCCCCCGCCATCCCCTCCCCCGGTACCGGCGGCACTGAAGGTCACCGGCGGACGGACCCCCCGGGGCTGCGTCGGGGCTGGGGGGACACCCCGGGGGGGGTTTCTCCGCGGGGACCCCCGTGCCCGGTCCCCTCGGGGCGGCACTTACCGGGGGCGGCGGGGCCGGGGCGGTCCCGGAGCGGGGCCGGTACCGAGCGGAGCCGAGCGGGGCCCCGGCGCTCGCTGCCACCGCGCAGCGTCACGTGCGGCGGGGCGGGGCGGCCCCTCCGGGGGCGGCGGGACCGGGAACCGGCACCGGGAACCGGCACCGGGAACCGGCACCGGGAATCGGCACCGGCACCGCGAACCGGGCACCGCACCGGGCACCGGCACCGCGGACACACCGCCGGGCACCGGCACCGGCAAAACGGCGCCGGAACCGAGCACCGGGATCCAGAACCGGGGATCCCCCTCCATCCCTGATGTCACCCCCTGGGTGTCCCCTCCCTCCCCAGCGCACAGGTCCCCGCGGACGGGGGACCCCCCAACCCCTCCCTGTCCCCCGGGAAGTGTCTCCATCCCCCTGCCCGCGGTTGGTATCCGGGCACCGCTCTGCCCATCACCCACACCCCCCTCCCAGTTTGGCTCGCGGGGTTCCCCCCACATCCCTCCCTGGGACTCAGAGCAGCCCCCCCTCATACCTCCCCACCCTTGGTTCCCCCCATTCCTGGTACTCAAGGAACTCCCATTTCCATCCCTGGTACTCAAGGCCCTCTCCCACCCCCAGTCTCTCCATCCCTGCTAACCCAGGCAGCCCCCTCATCCATAACCCCCATTCCTGGTACCCAGGGCACCCCTTCCATCCCTCTCTGGCACTCAGGGTACCCCCCTCAACCAATTCCCCCCGGCACCCAGGGCACCCCTTCCATCCCTCCCTCCCTGGCACTTAGGGCACCCCATCCACCCATAACCCCCCATTCCTGACCCCCAACCCTAATTTCCCCCATTACCCCAAGGCCCCTCTCTCCCCCCCACCAGCACCCAGGCCATGAGTGACCCCCCACCCAGCACCCACCTCCCTGTCCCAGGGGGACCCCCCAGCTCGGGGACCCCCAAGGAGGGGCTAGCATCGGCTCCAGGGGAGGAGGAGAGGGGGGCTGGCACGCCAGGGGGACATGGAACCCCCTGGGGACACAGCAGCTGGGATGTGACAGGGCCAGGGCTCCATAAACCCCGTGCCAAGGGTGGGGGGATTCCCACTCCAGCAGATCCCACTCACTCCCATCCCACCCCGCAGCCCTTTTTGGGACAGCTCAGAGCGGGATTTATGGGATACCCCCCCCCCTTTGCCCCACCACCTTCATCCCACGTGTCTGCACTGCAACGAGGCTGCCATGGCTCCAATGACAACTTTAATCCGATAATATTTGCAAATAACAGACAAAACAGGAACGGGGCCCTGGGATCACACCTGGGACTTGTGTCCTCCGGAGGATCCGGCGCTGCCGGAACCGCCGCGGCCCCGGAACACCCCCAGGGCCCCCCGGATCGCTTCCCACAACAACAGGATAAGCTCAAGGAAGAGATTTTTGTGTTTTGGTTTTTTTTTATATATATATATATATATATATAACATTAAAAAAAATGAACAGCAACTTGAAAAGATGGAATTTCCAAGGAATATGTACACAAGCGAGTGCTTCAGGCTGGGAAGAAAAAACCTCTTGTGGCTTCGGCACATGGAATTCCTCATGTCTGTAGCTTGGGAAAGAATCCACGGGTCCAAACTGCCCCAAAACCCCCACTTTTTAGGAGCTTTAGAGCCCCTCAAATGCTGCTGCTTCACCCCCAAACGCAGCAGGGACAGGGAGGAGGGGGTTTGGCAAAGAACAGCTGGAATTCTTCGGATAAAACCTTGGAAATCAAACCTTGGAAATCAAATCTAGAGGAGTTTTGGGGGATGGGATTTGTGCCCCTCCCCCCTCTTCTTGCATCCCAAATTTCTGCAAACCTTGACAAAATAAAACTGATGTGATCTCCACATCGTATTTTTCCAGGGAAACAAGGGAAAAGCTGGAAAGGAAGAGGAAACCTGGAATTTCAGGACAGAGATCCCTCGGCAGTGCCTGCTGTGGATCAGGCTGGAAGTGGGATAGTTCCTGCTAAATATTAATGGGGAGAAATCCTTGCTGGGAGATGTTAAAAATAATAATAATAATAATTAGTGCATTGCTGAAAAACGAGGATAAAGGAGGAAAAACCCCTCTTCCCATGGGAAATGCCTCCCACCTGCACCCCCCCGCTGGCTCCGGCTGTCCCAAGCACTCCTGGAAGAAAATGTTCTCCAGAGTCACTAAAATACCCCAAATTTCTAAAAAAAACCCAAACAACCCAGTTCCCAGAGCCCAGGTAGTTCTTGGATCATCCAAGGTGTGGAAGTGGCGGAGGGATGTGGAGAGGGATGCGGCCCTGGGCAAGGTTTGGGAAGCAGATCCCAGCTCCCATTTGGGGTCAAATCAATAAAGATTCGTTGTCTGCCAGACATTCCTCACCCAGTCCCAATTCCTGCACTTCCAAGCTGGCCTGACAGTGGATCAAAGACAGGGCTGTCCTAAAGAGGATGGAGCAGGATGGTTGGGATCTATGGGATCACGGGGACACCCCCTCGCCCCGAACACACCAACTGCTGCTCAACTTCCCAACCTTCCTGTTCTTTATTAAACCAACCCGGGACGTTCTCCTGGAGCAGGAATGTCCCTCAGTGCAATCTGCTTTGACATAAGGCATTGGTTTGGTTTGCTTTGGGGAGCACACGCCTCGCTCGGGGGTTTTCCTGCCTCCTGGAAGAGTCACAGAGTCCCATATCCACCTTTTTTTTTGGATGCTTTTAATGCCCTACCACGTTCCAAATCCTCTTCCCTTCGGGTCGCTCCTCTTGGAAAACCATCAGTGGCCGAGTAAACCAGTCCCTGGGGGGGATAAAACATCACCAGGAGATGAGGAGGGAGGTGGGATGGGGGTGGAATTTGGGCAAAAGGGGGGGAATCACCCAAACTCACCTTTAAATCCCTCTTCGGGCATACAAACTGGGATGGGAGGGAAAGGAAGGCGTTAGAAGTTGTTCCGATGGATCAAGATCCCAAGGAATGACAAGGAAGTGTCACAACTCCCTTTTTCCACCTTTCCCACCCAAATTCTTGCCCCCCCCAACCTTCCCCCTCCCCTCTGACCTTGCATAACGTCGTCCATTGCTGCGTAATCCGCGATGGGCTCATCAGCCTGGAAAAAATACGGGAATACCGGGATGAAGGAGCTCCTGGAGCCACCTCCGGAGGGGAGCAGGGAATGGGGCTCCTGCCCAAACACTGGGAACGTGAGAGGAGGATTCATTCCCTAATTTAGCTGGAGTTTGGGCTGGTACCCACACTGCTCAGCAGCAAAACCGGCCAATAAAGGCCCTTGGGAAGAAAAAATAAGGATTGTCCTCCTCCAAAGCAAAAAAATAAGGATTTTTCTCCTCCAAAATGAAAAAAAAAGGAATTCCTCCTCTGAAACAAAATCAATAAGGATTTTCTTCCTCCAAAATAAAAAAATGAGGATTTGTCTCCTCCAAAACAACAAAAAAAAACGGATATTCCTCCTCCAGAATAAAAAAGATAAGGATTTTCCTCCTCCAAAACAAAAAAAATAAGGATTTTCCCCCTCCAAAACAAAAAAATGTGGATCTTTCTCCTCCAAAGCAAAAACCTGAGGATTTTCCTCCTCAAAAACAAGTTTTTTCTTCCTCCAAAAAACAAAAAAGCAAAAAGAGATCTTCCTCCAAACCAAAACCAATAAAAATAAGGATTTTCCTCCTCCAAACGAAAACCAAACAGGATTTTCCTCCTCCAGGAAGGGGCTCCGTGAGGAACTCATTGGATTTTTCCCAATTTTCACAGGCCCCACGACACGTTTTCCTTTGACTGCACGAACTCAGCTGGATTTTGGGTGAGATCCCTCTGGATTTTGGGCTGGAACCCTGTGGAGTTTGGGCTGAATCCCTGTGGAGTTTGGGTTGGATCCCTGCAGATTTTGGGTGGGATCCCTGTGGATTTTGGGCTGGATCCCTGTGGATTTTGGGCTGGATCCCTGTGGATTTGGGCCGGATCCCTGTGGATTTGGGCCGGATCCCTGTGGATTTTAGGTGGGATCCTGGTGGACTTGGACGGGATCCCTGTGGATTTGGGTGGGATCCCTGTGGATTTTAGGCGGGATCCCTGTGGATTTTGGGCGGGATCCCTGCGGATTTGGGTGGGATCCCTGCGGATTTGGGCGGGATCCCTGCGGATTTGGGCGGGATCCCTATGGATTTGGACAGGATCCCTGTGGATTTGGGCAGGATCCCTATGGATTTGGGCAGGATCCCTGTGGATTTGGGCGGGATCCCCCTGGATTTGGGTGGGATCCCCCTGGATTTGGGGCGGATCCCCCCGGATACCTTGAGCAGGATGACGGACTCAGGGATGACCCCCAGGCTGCCCAGCGTGGCCGTGTCATCGCTCAGGATCTTGCCGTCGATGGACAGGTTCTGGTCGAAGGGGGCCACGGAGAAGGCGTGCATGATCTGGGACAGGGACAGGGCTTCTTGGAGCAGGGATGGGGCACTGCAGATCCCCCAATCCCACCCCCATTCCCACCCCGACACAACCCACCCTGATTCCCAACTCCCAATTCCACCGCAACACAACCCCCCCAACACATCCCAATTCCCACACAACACAACCCACCCTGATTCCCATCCCAACTCCATCACCAACACAACCTCCTCTAATTCCCACTCCAAACACAACCCACCCCAATACAACTCTCCCACACCCCAATTTCCCACCCCAACACAATCCACCCTAAACACAACCCACCCCAATTTCCACCCTGATTCCCACCCCAAGACAACCCACCCCAACACAACCCTCCCTCTCCAACTCCCACAGCCCAATTTCCCACCCCAATTCCCACCATAACACAACCCCCAATTCCACCCCAACACAACCTCACCCTGATTTTCACCCCAACACAGCCCCCCCCAACACAGCCCCCCCAACACATCCTAATTCCCAACCCAACACACCCCCCCTAATTCCCACCCCACCCCAATCTGACCCCACGTGGGATTTCAGACCCTTCCCCTCCCTCCCCACGCTCCTGGTTTGATGGTTTTCCCTCATTCCTGGCATTCCTCCC